TGTTTAGATAGACTGTAACATGAATTATCAAGAATAATATAGTTACTTGTTTTAAAATCCATTTCCCTGGGAGAATGTACAGCAGGTCTCTCTGTGTGCTCATGCTGCTTAGATATTGTTTGTTTGGATCACAAGGAAAGCAGCTTACGGCTTCTAAGAGCTAAGCTTTACCTTTTCTACAGGTCTGTGCTTTTGGTTTGCTGCCTTGATTAAGAAAAGCTTTGCTGGTTTAGCTTAGAAGGGTACCTAACCAGGCTTAGTACACAAGCTTCAGTAGTCATACAGGTAGTCGCTTCAGTTTAAACCTAACAAGAATAACACATACAAACAAGAAGCAGGAGGGGTCATGCAGTTTTCTATACTTTTGAAGTCCATTGATTTAAATTAGTGAGAGCATTTTTATTATGAGCATTGCATTGTCTGAGTCAAATGCTATCAATTGAAGAAGGAAAACTGACGGTATTAGTACCTCACCAGCAGCATGGCATGTCCTATTAGTAATGCAGTAGTGAAGGACTGGGAATTAAATTTCCAGAGAGGCTGCTGCAATTCTTCCAGCAACTTTTTCTGTAGTAGAGAATGGGAATAAAACTAAATTTGGTTTTGTCCAGAAGAATTTGAAGTGCGCTGCTTACATGGGAACTTATAGCTAGAGGCTGCAACACAGCAGCTTAACACACATTAACTGGAAGCTATTTGTAAGAGCTTCCTTCTCAAATTTAACTCTGAAGTAACCAGAAATCTGTAAGTTTTCATACATTTATTTACTAGAATTCCTATTACAGATCGCTGCCTTCTAAAACACTTTTGGAAGAGCAGTCGGCAGACTGTTCTCCTTAGAGCTGTACTCATTCACTACCTGTTTCAAAACAAGTCAGTGCCTGAACATTATTTGCTCTCTAGCATCCGAGCTTTCTGCTTTCATGTATGTGAGTTACTGCGCGTGGTAATGTTAGGATAAAACAACATAATGCAAAGTCGGAAGGCTCTGCATGCTAAGGGAGTGTGCACAACACTTGTTTGGCGAACACAGCCTCATAAGCTTCTCATATACTTTCCAAATGGGCACTTAATTTATAGCATTGGAGTCAGTCTATAATTTCTACTGCAGATCATTCCAGCAGGGCTGCTGAGCTGTTTTTGTGCAGACACGAAAAAAGCAGTGATATAAAACATGCATAATTCGTGTGGTGTCTCCTCTGACCCCAACATAGCAGAAGTCACAGTTTTTTCATGGAAGCATTCTGTGTTGTTCCAAACAGCCATGTTGCTGAGTCGACTGTCTCCTATTCTTAGCATAGAAACCATTAGCAACTAATATTGCAGTGCTTCTTTCTCAGTTTTTTTTAATCAATCGGTCCAACGTTTAGCTTGCAGCCATCATTAAACTGCCAATTAGAAAGCACTATGTAAGGTAGGTGGCAACTATTAAATTCAGAAAAGGTAATTGAAAAGGCACTCAATACTGTTGTAAGTGGACCATGTAATCACAAAGTAATTGGGAAGTGTGCATGTGTAAGTGTATGTGGGAAGTGAGTACTGTGTGTATGCGCTGAGCCTTATCTGGTATAAAGTTGTACAATAGGTAGAGGATTTGGTGTTTGAGTTTTTTTGTAGCTTGTTTGCATTCCCATAATACATACCCCAAGATTTCCTTAGCGTGTGCAAAGGATGACAAGTGTCAGTACTTCATACAACTATATTTAATAAGTTATTACAGAAAAAAATAAAGTCCAAACTACAAAGTTTAAGCAGTTGTAAGCAATAGCAGCATTAAGCTCCATGTTTAGTCACAGTACTGCAGTTCCATACAAGCATTAGTCCAAGCCAGAAAGGAAGAAGCCTTGTTAGAATTACGAGCAAAACAATCTAAGAGAACATGTAATAAAAGATACAGTACATTTAAAATTAGTTGAAAAACAAGTACAGAGATCTTAGCTGTGAATGCGCTAAAAGTTATGTCCATTACTTTGACAGTAAAAGTACAAATATCTAATACTTTATACCCCAACAGAACTACATCCAGGAAAAAAAATAATAAAAGGAATTAAACAAAATGACCTCTTATTAGCACCCTCGTTTTTTACTTACTGCTAAACTTTTTCTCATTTATATTTGAGTGTACCAGAATTATGTGAGCAATGTGATTTCTGACCAGCTACCCATTTGGGGTACAGACAGTAGTGTCACTAACATGAATATAAAATACTCTGTGGTATGACTGAACACTATAGCAGCAGAGATAAGAAGTTTGTTTAAAAAAGAAAAAGAGAGATAAAAGGAAAGGAAGGGAAAGAAAAAGGGTTTAGCTGACATCATACAAACTAGCGTAAAAGCAACTACATACAAGCCAGATTAAACGAAAGAGATATTTCTACATATCTGTGACTAACCTTTCACTCATACCTTGCAAGTAGAGATGTCACAATACTGAAATATTAACATGGGAGCTTTTCCCAGTTAAGCGCCATTCTTTTTTTTTCTTTTTTTTTTTTTTTTTTTTAAAACTACTCTAACAGTGAAATCAGCAAAGTTATTTGCTAACTGCATATTTGCAATACAATTTGTTTTAGCCCATGCCTTGCTAGCAGGCTATAAAATACAAGCATGTAGGCAGAAGTATAAGCATAAACTTTGTACCACTTAGCAGGAATTATTTATTCCCTCTTCATTCCTTAATCTCCTTTGTTTTCAATTTGCGTACATTCCAACCAGTAGTACCTAATTTGAGTCTAAATTTTACTTCACTATTTGATCTAGTCTATACATTACTTACAGAACTGAACACACAGAGGATACACGATAGACTGACTCCGGACAGCTTCTTTCCACAAGTTATGGATGAGCCACTCTAACACTGGCGTAAGTTAGTCTAAAAGGCCATCAATAACTCGTTGAAGTAGTTGTTTTGTCCAGAGAATGTCACTGTATGCCCTGTTTACGCAACACCAGTTTCAGTCTGGATTGGTTTAGGTGACAGAACAGTCACTGGCATCGGGAAGGGGTTTCTCCTGGCTGCATAGGAAAACAAAGGTGATGTAAATGGAGGTGAAGTGACGGGTGTTTTGATGTGGCATTTGGTATTGCCAATACGAAAGAAAAAAAAGGACGAAGACACAGGAGAGTCAGAGAAGAACAGAGAAAGACAAAGAAGCTGAACTAATGTTCAGACATGGTGGCAATATGGGTTACTGCATTGCTACCAGGAAATGGGCGTACGTTATTCTGCATTAACTAGGCAGCTACCAGCACTGTGTGGTAACTTCATTAGAAAATGATGTGGGTACCTACGGTCTGCTCCATGCTGCCACTGATAAATGTATGCAAGAAGGAAGTTGTGCAGGAAAGGGTCATTTTAGTTCATAAATAAATAAATAACAGGGTGGCAAAAATACAATGAAGGATATATATTTTAGGAGATTCGGCCTAAGGCTATCGAAAGAGTTTTGAAAAGTTAATGACAAGAAAAGTAATGGAGCATTATGCTGAATGGGCAGGGTCAAAAACCCATCATTTCAATAGATTTAGTTAACTGTAACGGCAGTCGGATTGAATCAACACTGGTGGTGTATAAATCTAGACAGCGAACTGGTACTGTGACATCCCTATTATCTCCCTAAATCATTTTGATAAAGGAAAAGGCTTTTCAAAATATCACATTTTTTCTGCTTCATTCTGTCATTTTATTGCCCAATTCTTTGTTACAATTTTCCAATCGCTTTACATAACCAACCGTTTCATCATTGCCACACTATTGTAAACCACATCAGCAAGTTAATACATAAAGCTTTGCATTTCAAAAAACTAGACACTTTAGTAACAATATTACAAAGATTTTAGCTTCAAAAATAACTGAAAATGAAAAAAATAAACTTTTAAAGAATTAGCATCATAAAATTAATTTATTCCAAGTAAAAATACAAAATAATATTAATGACATTGACCAGATATGAAAGTCTCTCCCAGAAACAACTATATTAATGGTTGAGAAAGCACTCCTTAAAGAAAATACGAAATAAAAATGAAAAATATGTAAATATGTTTAATTTTTTTCTTAGCAAAAAATCTTTCTAAAAATAACAATGAAAATTTGTCTCAGTACAAAGGCTACATTACTATTGAAAAAATACCAGCATGAAGAAAAGGTACATATTTGACAGTAGAAAAATGATTTTAGTGAATCACAATGTCTAAAGTCTGCAATGAAAATAAATCTGCAATAAAGATTTATGCCTTTTTTCTTTTCATTTTTCTTTTTTTTTTTTTTATACAAACAGTACAAACAGTATTGCACATAACAACAAATAGTCGAGGTTAGGTTAGCCTTCAAAAAATCAACTAGTTCAAGTCTCACATCAGAAAAGGCCACAATAGGACCTGTTGTACCCAGGGGCTTCTTAGTCAAGTTGCAGTTCAGAACTCCTTATTTTAAAAAATAACTTTTTTTTTTGAAGGACCCTCTTTTAATAATAACATATTAACAACTCAGGGGCACATTCATTTACAAAACAAAAGGGAGCATGTTATAATTTAATAAACTAAAAAAAGTTCTCTTTAAAAAAATACAAACAGAAGAACTCTCACAATTCTGGTCAGTCGTGCATAATCACACTTGATTATAAATATACAAATTAAGGGAAAATATTTTTTCCACCTTCTATTCACAACTTTCAGCACCAAATGGAGTTTGTTTACAGCTGTTTTTCACGATAATTTTGTTTTTTAGTTTTAACCCAACGTTACGCTGTATTGTACATCTTCCAGCTTCTCTCTTTCTCTCACTCTTTCTCTCTTTCTCTCTCTCTCACACTCTCTGGGGGTATGTTTGTACATGAAAGAGGGGTATTTCTTCAAAAGGGTTTACTTCGTTCACATAATTAGGTAGATTTCTGTAGGTTAGCTATGATCTTTAATATTACAGTTATAAAGCTCTAACTTCTTCATTTTCAAAAAAACTCAAATAAGCATGAAAAAAATAAAGTTACCCATCTGTTAAATCATTTTTCTTGCAGAATTAAATTAATATATATTTTTCTGAATAAACTTACTTAGAAAATATCATTTTCTTTCCTATATTTCAAAATTGAGGTATTGCAAAAGATCATGTCAGTCAGAAAGCATGCCTTTTTCTTTAAAAAAAATCATCAGCCGACTGTTGAAAACTGTCTAGATACAAAAAGTAGTGCATAACAAAATGTCTTGTACAGATGAAAAAACAGAAAAGACACCTGGGCTGGGAAAAGCAATATCACAAAAATGCCCAGAAGTAACCTCAAAAGGGATAATTATAATTAGCATTTTAAACCAGTAAAAAACTATTTTTTCTTTTTTTTTTTCTTCAAAAACAGAAAAGTTCCTTTCAAAGCCAATACTCGCAACTAAACACTGGGAAAAACAGCTTACTAAATTAGACACAAACGAGGACATCACGACAAACAAAACCCAGAACATTTACATCTACTATGCGGTGTCATATCCAGTCAGATTGTCCCCAGAACTGCAAAAACAAAGGAAAAAAAAAAAAAAGAAAAAAATAGTGTACACATTCTCACAATCGTTAGTATACCAAGTGTGTTTATATTTATATGCTATCTGCAGCCCCATAGTTCATGCTAAAAAAATGTCCACTGTGTTAGCAGGTCTTAATTGTGTTCAAGCTTCACAGGATACATCCAGGGATTAGAGAGATAACGCCACATCCACAGAGCAGACATCTCATGTTACTTTTATATGCAGACATTTCTTTAGCACCACTTCTTTTTCTAACTTTCTTAAATGTGCCTAGTTCATTAGGTTGACAGACTATCTAGTTGGTAGTGTATGTATGCTAGTATGAGCTCTTTGGTTTTCTGGACAAAGTCTGCAACTACGTAACTGGTGCAAGCGTTAGGAGAGAGATTGTAAGTAAGAGCTCATTTCTGTTTATGTACCTGTTATGAACTGTCAAGAGTGTGTTAATGTCGGATACAGAGGCTTTAACAGTTAAGTTTGATCACAGTACTAGACATAATCACCTTACTATATAAAATAAATTGCACGATATATAACAGAGCACCGCAAAGTACTTCATCTACCATCCACAAATTTGTTTTATGAATATCCTACAGCTAGTTTTTATATCTGTTGTAGTATAGGTCATTCTGTAATGGGCTGATCCTAATTTCAGAAGCATTACATTTTACTGAGGCATGCCTTCCTCCAGTCAGTAATCAGTTTTTTTTTCTTTGTTACTCAATATTTTGTCACCTAAGTAGACTCGTAATTTGTGCATTGTGGGCAGGTTTTATATTAGACATATATAAAATTTATTGCATGCAGCAACCTGATTAAGTAAACATGCAGTCAAAAAATATTGACCTTCCTTGGAAGCTTTTCTGTATGCTATACTGATCTCCTTTCAGCAGCCATCACTATTTTAATCACATATTCATTTTTTAATTGATACCCTAGCCTGAATAGAGTATTCTGGTATTAGTAATACCATTTTAATAGCAGCAAAAGCTATTGCAGCATACATTTACATAACACTAAGAGACCTAACAAAAAAAAAAAAAAAGAAAAAAAAAAAAAAAAAAAAAAAAAGAAAGAAAAACCCTTAGCAAAACAAAAGAAAAAAAAAAGTCTGATCCAGCTTATGAGGTATCATCCTTACAAGTCAAAAATGGAGAGCAACTAAAGGCTTATTTTCTTTAAGGGTTATTACTACGCTAAATGACCCAAACTAACAATTGCTGAATATCTGATAAGTTTTTGCTACATCTGCCACCTACTTGTGAATATTACCTTTGGTAAGTCATCTGCTAGGGGCAAGTCTAAATTTCTGAAAATAAGTGCATGCTCCAGTTTAAAAATAAAAATAACTATAATTATAATAAAAAAATCTTCATCACGTACACATCAACCCAGTGAAGGCTGATGAGAATGGCAGTCTACATAATGTCACTAGTGACAAGTCTTGTGTAGGAAATTAAGGTACCAAGCAGATGTTTGTGTGAATCAAAGTGCAAAATCAGTACAGTTACACTCTGCCGGTTTGTATCATACTGGACACTGAGTTCAGTAATGTGACTGTAAATAATAATAATAGTAATAAAAAGACCCATATCTTCATTAAAGTCGAGGACGAATGCACAAATTTCCAGAACACTAAGCCCTGAGGCAGCGCTCTCTTTTTCCCTCGATTTTATCTACTCCAGTACTTGTTGCTGGGGGAGGCCTGGGGTTCAGCTCCAGCGGAACGGCACGTGGCGGGGTCGGTCACCTCCCTCCTTTACCAGTGGTTTGTGGAACTCTCGCCCAGCACGAGAGTGTATGCTTGCCCAGCAGTATTCACAGTAATACTGCAAACAGGTAACATTGGCACAAAAGAACGGAGCAAATTTTCCACCACAGCGAGTGCCTTGGCATTCATCACACATCTGATCATCCAGCACATATGGCTTCACTTCCACCTGCATCAAGAGACAGAAAGAACTGTAAGTCGATTACGCAGTTTTGCTAAGTGTGAATAGAAGAACAATATCTTAGTTCTTTTGACTCTGTTGAAGGTTTCCAACTGATGCTGGATTAACCCAAAGGGCTCGGCAGTTAGATTTTCATACCAACCAGATTACTTGATGGAAAATCTCAAGGATAGCTATTCAACATTTCTTAGAACAGTACTAAGATCAAAGTATGGCAAAAATAGTGCCACCGAGGAATTTGCAGCTAGGAAGCTTCCAGCTGTGGGAATACAGTTGTTACGAGGGCAGAGCAAGTGGCACGTATGAAGGAAACTGACTGATAAAAACAAACCTGTATTTCTAAACTTCAGAGTTGAGAGTCTGATGAGCTTCAGAGGTTTTGGGGTTTTTTTTTGGTGTTGGTTGTTTTTTGTGAACTGCAAAAATGCAGGACCAAGCTAACAGATGAAGAAATGATTCACATTAAACAAAATTAAATGCATTAGCATTAAATACTCTGCTTTATGCTTGCAAAAATCACTGTCTAACTTCTGCATTTAGCTCTAGACATGTGGTAAGATTTCAAAGTTGTTGTAACTGGTCTTGCAATCAATTACAAATAGGCTGGAGCAGTGGACTGTTGTCCTAGTCTCAGTTGTAAACATCCAAGGGCAGGCATGTTGTTGTTGTCTTATAAAGCACCTGTGCCAACCACAGCAGCATTCAGTGCGTGGCCAGGCACCGCCATAACGCTGCTACAGGAGCTGACAGCATGCGAGTTCTCTCCTGTTTCTGTTCCTCTGAATAATGGCAAATTTAAATGTTATTTAAATTCAAATAACATTTCTACTGACTGTTTATTTCTTCTGGAGAAGTCAGTAGTTTGTGCATGTGTAATTCTTATGTCTCTGTGATGCTATTTATAAAGTGTTTAAGTTCAGTTAGCTACATTTAAAAAAAGACTTAGAAAAAGATGAGATATGTGTACTTAGTAAATAATTTTGCTGTAACAAAGTGTTTTGCTGCATAGAAAATTTGATCACAGTAACTACTCTTAAATGGTTGCCATATAGACAGAGAACAAAACAGCAAGTTGAAAAACAAGAAATTTGCACAGAAATATTTATGGTGAATTTTACTTCAATTTGTCAACAAATGCTACTCATTTGAAGTAAAGCTTATATGGCAAGTAATATTTATGGCTTATGGTACTGATAGAACAGATTTTTTTGCTTGTTCTTTTTTAATTACACTGTGCTGCTGATATGACTCTGAAGATATCTGCATATCAGATACCATGCCATTATCTCAAATGAAATTGGAAGAAAGAAAGCAGGACCAATGTCCAGCATATCTCTAGATCTCCACCTACTCACATTTCCTAGTGAAATAGTTTTAAGAATGGGTACTGTACAATTCAGAGATTTCAGTCCATTGGGGATAAAAATTTGAGGACAGAATTAAATGAATTCATGCTTCTTTAAACTCAAGGATAAACCTACATTAAAAAACAGATAAAAGATAATGAAGTAAGCTTAAATTCTCCATCACCCATCTGGGATGAGCACTAGTTGTTGAAAACAACTACCAACTAGCATCATTTGTGGATGTGTCTTAAAGCTCAGGAAGAAAACAGGTTTTCAAGCACAAGTGATACATAACCCTCAAAAGATTTAATCCTCCTAAATTCATTTTGTTAGACTCCCAGTAGAAACTGTATGAATTCAGTGCACAAAATAGACTAAGGAACAGCCTCATCTTAGATAAAATCACAACATGCACCAGCATCACAAAACTAGTTTGAGGAGATGCAACTATGTATGACCTCATCTAATCTGACAAGAACAAAAAATTAGTCCAGATTTTTAAAGAGAAACTAAAACCAGTTTGGACTGTGCTCTGTAGGTGTGTTTTTAACTACATACAGCATATAGTGGACATGCTCAGTACCCATCAAGCTGACTCTTAATAAACAATTCGTAATAGATTAGGTAGAAAAACAGCCATCCCTCTTGTTATACATACCAGCATGGTATGTATACATACATACATATATATGCAGTTATACATACTGCATGGTACGTGTTCTTTTGAATAATTTTAAATGCTAAGTCCTCAAAAGCTTGGGTGCTATTTGTAGATGTAATCAAGAGGTGAAAATAGAAAGTCTGAAGATATACGACTTGGAAATTAAGTAATTTTTTCATTTAATGTCTTCAACTCAGAATTTAGTAAAGACATTCATTTCATCCTCTACTTGGAAAACCCTTAGAGCACATAGACTAAGAAAAAAATAAAAGGCAGCAAACACCTCATTTTTTTCCCCTCCCATTTACTCATCAAGCATTTTTTTGGCATCTCTTTTTGGTTAAATAATACCCAATATTTTGAGGCCATCATTGTCTACTATTTTCTACAATAATACCTGCATTTGGGGAATTTTAAGGCTAGACATTCATTGTGGAGAGAAAAGGTTGCCTAATTGCAGAATCACCATAAGTGATACAAGTAGCCAGAAGCCACATGGACAGCCAGAAATAAAATCTCTTGATGCATAACAAGCAATATCTAAACTCAAAAGAAGTTGGATTCATTCTACAGTGCTCGATCTTTAGAATTCAAAACAAAAAAGCTGAGACTAAACTGAGTTTGCCATCAACTATTTTCTGATTTCTGAGTTAAAAATCTCAAGTAACAATTTTGAAAGTCTACTTTTTCCACTATAGTCTAAATAATTAAAAATTATCCACCAAAGAACAAAAGCTACTGTTTTCTAACACAGCATTAGTATAAGGATGTTTTTAATCTCTGTACAGTTTTTTTAGTAACAATCATTTGGTACCACTTTACTTACCCGTTTATCAATGTCATTGTGTTGGAGCTGGACAAAGCGAGCACTGATAGCAGCAATGTAGCTCTGCTGATTAGAAAAAGCCACTCTGCCAGCACCTTTTGGGTACTTCAACTCTGGGTCTGTATCAATGCCAGCATAGCAGACACCTCCGTATAAACGGTCCATAATCATTGCCAATTCAACTGCAAGAAGGCAATTTAAAAATATGGATTCAACATAAATAACAGTTTTGTTTGGTTTGCTGGGTTAAAAAGTAGGAAGGAAATGGAGCAGAGGAATGTAAAGTGTGTGAAGACGTACAGTTGCTGAGACATTTTCTCTCTATAAGCTGATAGTAAAACAAATTTGACGGATGAAGGACAAACGCTCAAAGCAAGGCACTGGGACCTGCCAAGTCAATGATTTTTTTTCAATTCCAACATGTGAAAACCCTTTGGTAGCAAGCTAAAATTCAGAAATATGAGATGAAGGGAAAAGATTATTATATTTAAACTATTGAAATTCTCACAGAAGTTGTTAACTACATATAGAATAGAGCTAATTATAAAACTGAATATGTTTAATTATTTAAATGTGCGTTGGTGTAAACATGTGTCACATTATGGAAAGACCAAATGCTAATTTGTCCATTTGCAACAAGCAAACAAACGTCCAAGCCATTTCACCAAACTAGATCAAATTCATACTCCAAACAGTAAGGGGAAACTACCTCCAGGACATACAGACTAAAATATTCTTTTGCTTTCCTGCGATTTGTAACCATTATTTAGGTAATGATCTCAGAAAGTAACAGTCTGGAATAAACAAGAGCTTTTAAAAGCATTTTAAACAATTTCAGCAAGTTACTCTTGCCAATAGACAAGGAATATATATGATTCCAGAAGGAAGAAACCACACAGTGTTCATACATCTTACATAAAATGTCTGAATGAGACCTTGAAAGTTGCAGACAAGAGCTGGAAACTCACTGTCTGCTTTGGAACATAACTACCTGTTTTTAAATGTAATGCATAAACAATCTATGAAAGGCCAAATGACATACAGTTCTGTGAAGTGCTATAATTAGAAGTGAGGTGATGTTTAATTGTTATCAGTTACATAATTATCCTCTCTTACAATTATACCTTATTTTAAGATGGTGAGGAAAATGGAAGCTGGCAAGAAACCTGGGCTAGGAGAAAGAAATCTTTCTGAGAGCAATGACTGAGGATCTTGCATACAGCTTCTCAGAATTATGGATAAGACTGGGCTTGGAAGAAAGAGAAAGCAAGGAGTTACAGTTGCGGGGGGCTAGGAGTGGGTCTGAAAGTAGCCTTCAGTACAGAGTGGGGCTACAAGAGAACTGGACAGGGAGAAATCTCTCTTCTGAACACAAGCTGAGGCCTTACCCATAGCTCCACAGGAAAGTCAGAGTTAGGGGTCAGAAAGAGGGAGAAATTAAAGAGTTGGAAAGGAGCTTGGAGAAGTTTGTATTCTAGTCAAAGGGCAGGGAAATTCGCCCGCATCTCAGCAAGCAAATCAGGGTTAGGATTGAGATGGTGGATATATGCAGAAAATCAGCCAGTTTCTGTATGTGATGCAAATTTGAAGAAAACTGTTTCTATTTATTATCCAAATCAGTAACCTATTTAGAAGATAAAAATTCAGGTTTTGTATTTCGTAGACAAAAAGAAATTAACTGACTTAGAAAGTGAGCTGTGATCTTGAGAAAATACAGGATATGTTTTCTGTATTCTATTCTATTTCTTTTACACATACTGTACATCTTTTCTACTTTTAATGTGTTCTGTTTAATCTGAAAACTCTACTACATGCCCAGCATTTTCCTTTTACTCACCAGCTCGGAGGGGCCGTGGAACTCCTCCAACAAAAATAGTCTTTCTTGGGTCCAAAGGCTGAGACCCATCCATCACAAAGTCACTGTCACTTAGGTTCCAAGGGCGAATTTGCACCTGTACAGGGAATTAGAGTTTATAGTTAGTAGAGGACTTGACAACTTAAAATAAAGAAAAAGTTACTAAATCATGCTCTAATCAACAATACAATTTAGTAAAAGCAGTGAATCAGTGGTGTGTGCACCAAAATGCCAAGAACATAGCTTATCTAAGTGTTTGACAGGAGGAGGACAATTAATTTTTCACCTCTAGAGGCCAGGCTTGAGTTAAATTTTTCATCATAGCGAACTCCTACCTCATTAGTTCTCTGCCCCCAGCTGCCATTTATAACAAGCAATCTGTGAAAGGACTTCCAGAACATTTTATCACCTGTGCATAATTACCGATGGAGTTTGGACTCCACATTCAAGAAACCACACATTTTTAAGCACTGGTGAATGGAAAGAGATAAATTTCTGTGCTTGAAATACAAAAAGAGTTTATTTTGACAGTGCAGTTGCTCACTTCTGTTAAGCAGCTGAGAAGAAATTTTCAAACTATGTAGAGAGAAACTGCTCTCAAGTCATTTGGACATAAAGCTGCTCATATCCACTTGTTGCTGTTAGTACATGCACACACTGACTGTGCTGTAATATTAGATCGTTCATTTATCTGTGTAAGCTTTTCAATACCATTTTAAGAAGTCAACATATTTTTATCTAATTGAATTTATTTGTAGCTTCCATTTAATCTGTATGTATCCATAGCCAAGAAAAAGAGTAGCTTTGAAGAGTATTAGAGATGTTAGCAATAGAAACAAGGTACTGTATGTTCTACCATAGCTTTCTGCTTTACTTGTGTTTACCCTTCAGTTTATATATGGCAAATTGGACGTACCTAAGTTATAAATGTCTTGATAATTGCATTCAGGACAAACAATAATTAAAAATAATGGGTTACAGGGGGATATTTGAAATTACCTGGTATTTAATGGAGGGAAAGAGGAGGAGATAGTTAAGTTTTTCATTTCATTGCATAAAGCTTTCTTTCAAATAATGTGGGGTGAAAATGCTGAATCTAATTGTTTTATAACTAGCATTGTAAAAGGGTGCATACTCCTGTGAGACACCAGAAGTACCAAATATAAAAGTTAATTGAATGTGGCATTTAACAGAAAGAAGCAAATGTTAAAACTGCGTTACGCTGATACAGAAAGTCAATTCAATGCAACACCAAGGGCAGCAGCAGGAAATGGACAAGTCAATTAGTAGTAAGTAGTTATTTATTTATTTAGCTGAAAAGAGGAACAGCAAATGGGTTAACGGCCAGCAGAGGTGTCATGGCATAAGCTACTTACTGGTTTATCCTTGATGGTGGGACTTGATACACACAGGTAAAGTTTCCCATCTTCTTCCAGACAGGCATCTATCAGAGCTTGTACAGAGCTTTCTTCCTGGAACAGCAGGAAGGCATAACCTTGGAAAGGATAAAAGTGGAAGAAAAAAAGAACAGGTTAATTTATAAAACACTTTTTTTCTTTTTTTTTAATAATAAAGAAAGCAACCCACCAAAAGAATAAAATATAAAAATTACACGTAACTCAAAGTTCTTAGTTTATTGTCATGAATTTAAATTCACCTAATATATCATACACTCATGCAGTATTGATTTCAGAATAGAAAAAAGAACACTTTCAGGATATGACAATGTCTATTTCTTTATTTAATGATTTGAGAGAGAATATAGGCTGGTAACTAAGGGGTTCTTATCCTTAATCCAGCCAGTGGATACATGCTGGTGTAAGTTCTTATGATCTCACAGTGGGAGTATGGAATTTCTGGTTATTATATACAAAGAATGAATATTAGAAAAAAGAAAAACCATAAACAGATAAATAGCCAGTTTGGGACAGAGATGTTAACACTATAAAATATAAATTATGGTTATACTACATGTTTGCTTTGTAAGTACAAATTATTTCTAAGCAAAATCACCTGGAACAAATTTCTACATTTTTTGGTAAGCATTTTAAAACTCTGAAGTTATGAAACTCAGAGAACATTCAAAAACACAGTCATTCCAAAGGAAGGTTATCACCCAAGGAGAGATCACTGCTTTACCTTACAAACCACAAACATGCTGTTAATAAGACACTGTGACACTCTAAAGTCAAAAGTTAACTTCAGCAGAGTACATCAGGAAATGAGACAAACTTCACAAAGTACAAAGTGAATCTTTAAATAGCTGCTCATTTAAGCTCTGCAAGGGTTTAAGTGTTTCTATGTGTACATACTTCATCTGAAAAAAAAAAAAAAAGAAGAAAAAAATGCTTACCTGAAAGCAACAAGCCAGAGTGAAAAAGAATGACATTTGTTGCATTTTATGATGAGTCAAAAGACTTGCTGTTATTTATATTTGAATACAACAGTTCAAAAGGAAGAAGAAAGTCCAACAAAAATTACTCCCAAGTGATTCCAAATTTTAGGACTTAAAATTAGACAGTGAAACTAAGTGTACGTGGCATTCCGTGCTCTTGTGAATGCAGCTATCAATAAAGCTTTCTTCAGCTTTTAAGATCTGACCCAAGCAATCATGTTATGCCACATCAGAAGCGAACCAACACAGCAGAGCTGCAGCAGCAGAGCCATTTAAAGATCGGCCGCCAGGCTGAACACAGCTGCCACACTGAAAAGGGCTTTCTATCATGCATGCTCTTTTGCTCCATAATCAGCACAAATTGTTTTTGTCACTGAATGTGAACATGTTGGCTTTGACCTTTCTAATTTGGCAGCTGCATATCTTACAGGCTACCTCTTTTCAAAAAGCCTGCAGCAATTAGAAGCAGCTGGAGTTTAAGGAAGGACTCCAAGACTTTATCTGCCTAAGACTCAACTAAGCAGCCACCCAATGGTACTCACTGTTTACATTATGACAACTTCTGGTATAGCTTTACACAGCCTGTTTGCTATAAAAATAGTTGTAACTTACCCTACCTTTGCAGTTTTGAGTGAATATTATTTGGTATTGTCTGTTTAAATAGATATTGCACAACTCTGATTTATTAGAAAAGAAAAATGAATAGGACACTGCCAAAGGATTTTCCTCTGTAGAGTATTATCTGCCAAATCACCTCTTTCCCTGTCATCTCCAGTTCCGTATGACTTTCGTATGACTGGTTGTTTTCAAAGGCATAAAAAAAAGCATTAGCACCAGAACTTCGTCTATTTCAGACTTTTATAATCTTAAACCAGCAACATTTCCAAAGTTTCTTTAGCATGTAGTCAAAATCAAAATTGGTAAATGTGTTTTTTGGCTTAATCACTTAGCAAAAACATGGAAAACTGCTTGAAATGCTTCTTTCTCCTATGGAACTTTTCCAAGGTTTTTTGGGTCATAGTAAAAAGTTACACCAGTAGTAGATGGAACTGACAGGCATTTTTTTGGATATACTGAATTGCATGATCATAAAAATCTCAAGTTAGATAAAATTAACCTAATTTTGGCTGCTTGATTACAAGGGTAGTAAAAATTAGCACTAATTCTGTTTTCTAACCTGAAACCAACAGCAGCTGTGAACTTTAGTAAGCTAACAACTCGTGATTCTGGACTTCTGTGACTGGAACACATTGGCCTGCCTGCTAAGGAGTCCCCGTAGGCTCTCTGAAGTCAGTCAGGTAAGGAGATTACAGCAGCAATGCCTTGTTGATCTAGAGAAGCAAGCAGGCTGGACTGGCAAAGTACATATGCAGAGTGTCCAGCGTTACTTAAGAATTTGGTGACTGCACATCTGTTCCTGTTATTTAAGGACTTTGCATAGTCAGGATTAACAGAGATTGCAGAGAAATTAAAAGTAACTAACATGGGCAAGAAAGACACCTGCCAAAATTGGAAGTATTTTTTCTCACTTTCAAGAAATGCGCAATGATTGCTAATACTGATGGCACAGTGCCACTGCCTGCATCTGCTTGTTCATACAGGTGTGTGCCTGCTTCCCTGGAAAAAGGGCACATCTGAAGTGAACTTCATGGCAGAAGATGCACTCTGAACTCAGATTGCATTATAAAAACAATGAAAGTGGAAAAATATACCTGCTAAAATTGACATTGCAAAAAAGAATTACTTCACAATTGATAGAATTTAATAATGGTGGGGTTTTCCTAATAGGAAGAAAACAGCATTTTCAATAACTTCATTCATCATTTAATGAAGAGAGCAATCTAAACTGTAACTTATTCTTAGTTTTGATTAATTATCTTTTCCTGTCAGCTGTGTTTAATTGCAAAGTTTGGCTATGACTTTATAAAACTCAACACCTACTTCAGATACTGTATTCTGTTTTGCTGAATATTTTAATCTCTATTTCTACTACAATGAGAGATGAGCCTCATCCTCCCAAAAAACTCTGGGCCAGCAGACTTCTAACTATTAACTTCTAACATTTAGAATTGGCAACTGTAATGACTTCAAGGTTTAAAGGAAACTTATTTTACAAGGACAGTGGGTGAGGTAGAATTAATAAGAACATTAGTTTTCTAAACAAAAATACGTTACTCCAAAAGCATGAATTGAGCAAATGCCGAAAGCTTCTTCAGATGCCTCAGCATCATGTGCTTCAGCACATTCCTCTGTGCATCAATTTCCTTAAAACACAGTAGTGTTTGTTGTTTTTTTTTCGTTTCACTAAGGTTGTCTGAACAGTCTTTTTACTTCATGGTACAGGAATATTTTAGAAAGGTGCTAACAGAGTAACTGTGGAGATGTCTCACTTGTGCTCTAGAGGGGATTGAATTCAGTCTGAAGTTTTTCTCAGAGATTTCAACTAGTTCTGAGTTCATTTCATCTCTTCATATTAACACAAGCTTACCACTTTATGCTCAGCTTGCATCTACAAGAAATAATTCATAAATGTTTTAAGTTCTTGTACTTAAGGACAGCAGTCTATCAGTTGCATAAACCATGAGTTCCATTTTCCAATACAAAGCTGGCAAGATTAGCTTATTTCTGGCTATTAGGATCATAGCTACTTTGCAAATAAAGAAAATCATATATAATGAAGAGGTATATACAAGATCAAAGAGTATTTGAACACGTATCTATGGCAGAGGTCTGCACTTAATCGATCGATTTCCTCAGTACCTGAGATCAAGTACCTGATTGCCCAAACTCAGCCCACTTGGAAAAATCAGATATTTGTATTCAAAGGGGCACATATTCTCAGTTTTATAACACTAATTTTGTACAGTGAGGAGAGCCCAATGTAAAGAGGAGGACTCTCTCCTTGCACACTGTATAGCAAGTCAGAACAGTCTTTGCGTATTCACGTGTATTCACTATGCACAATGAAAAAAAACACTTGAAAAAAATTGAACTACTTCTGAGGCACATTTTCTTTCATTCTGTCTTTTGAAATTTAGACAGTGTCTTTTCTGATGTTTTATAGGATCCAACACGACAATAAAAAATCTGTCATCCACCGATGATCTCTTACATAACATTTCAATATGTAATATTATTAAGGAAAAAGTAATATGGACTTAAACTTGCACAGAAAATTAATATTCTAATTTAATATCTGTGACTTCATTTTTATATAGTTGAGATGGCTGCTTCAAAAAGTAGCTTTAAATGGATGTAATTTTTTCATGGAAGATAAATAGCACTCTCTCATTTTTCTTTCTGGATTAAAAAAAAAAGTATTTAAATTGCATTGCAGTTGTACGAACTACAACTTTTGAATAGATTTGTTTTAAAAGCCCACAGTAAAGGAATATTTAGAATCAGTATGAACCAACTTACTAAATCAGTTAATGTGATGACAGAGGGTCATTGCTCAAAGTCACCACTAGTAATCTTACTAGAGGATGCTTTGACCATGAATAAAACACATTGCTGAATCCAAAGATGAAAGGACTATTAAAAATGAAACTCATTTTTGAAAAATAAAAATCCAGGGTGTTAAAAAAAACCACAGATTTTCTTTTAAACGTTGCAGTGGCATGGCTGGATTTTCAAGACGACATCAAAGGCTTTAAATACTTAAGAAACCTTAAAATAGAAATGACTGTAATCTCACTTAGCTACTGCAGAAGAGTGAAATTATGTATTAGTCAGGGCTGCAAAGATTTCTTTTAGGCAGTCTAATTTTAAATAGAAGTGTATGACGCTGTCAGCTGATTCTTTTATCTAAAAAAGCTTAAGGTAAGAAATGTGAGCAGTTTAGCATGTTACAGCCAGACTCCTGTTTGCTTTACGGTGGTTGGTTTTTTTCCATGAGTACTAGATTGAGTCTGAGTAGTCTGGTAAATAAGAAATTCTCCACGTGCCACATTAAAGTCACAGCTTGGAGTACTTTTTGTTTGCTTTTAATTAAAGGTATGTTCTCCATATTCTCAGTTCCACAGCTGTGAAAAAAAACTGAACCTTGAATCTGCAGAGTAATTAAATGAAAGTCACGTAAAAATTAAATGAAGCTAAAT